GAGAGAGAGAGAGAGAGAGAACTAGCTATTGTACCCATCAAATCACAGAAATTCATTTCAAATAAGTTAAAATCAACAGGCAAACATGCCCACAATGTCAGAAGGCAATGCAAACGCCCTGAAATAGTAATTCCAGGGGAAGATATGATTTGAATACACATGAAAAGATGAAACCTAAACAAACGCCATGTGAATCACATATACACACAAAGTTTGGAATTTGTGAAAGACAGAAGAAATATTAACATTGAAACACAATTGTAACCAGATGGTTCATAGATAATAAGAACATCAAATTCATAGATGGAAATGGAGCTGGAGACACATAGGTAAACCTAGGAAATCAAATGCATTCAGTTCTGTAAACAGTCATTAGGTTGACATATGATTCCCCAGGGACGCTAAATCGACCAAAGTCCAAGTGCAAAAAGAAGAAAAGATAAAAGGCTGTCTTTCATCCAATAACTTTCAGGTGAATTGACAATCAAACAAAATATTCTAAAACAGGGAAGGCTGTAACATCATTTTTTTTTACCCGGTCAAGTGGTCCAGAATTGGCCTTTTTATTGGGTGTGATCACATGAATTCCTTTACGTAACCAGTCATAGTAATTGCTTGCCATTTCTGAATCGGCAGTGCAATCTACCAATACAGTATTTGGAATAAAGTGATTTGCATGCACATGTTGGGTAAATTTCTCCAAATCAGCCTCTTCTCCTTCTTTTTGAAGTTCTCTCCACTGTGATAAATCAATTCCCCTACGTAAAGACGCAAAGGAGTGTTTATTGGTTGATCCAAATACAAATTTTAAAATAAAAATATAGTTAAGTGGTTCTGAGATGGGGGTTTTCTGATTATGGTACTCACACATTGCTCAAAATCATTTTTCTTGAACCTATGATCCCCATCACACGCAAATCAATGTTGAAATCTTCCTTAAGAATTGCTGCCTGCCAAGATACTTCAAGAAAGGCAATTAGTTACAAATGAGTTCTGGCTCAAGTGTAAATCACAAATAAGAAAATTGACATAGTGCAGAAAGAATAACTACATGTAATTATTTTGTGGAGTCAAGCTACCATACAAATATACAGAAGAACAAACTGAGATATACAGTAACCTGAAATCAGAGTCCAAAAGTTGAGGTATTAAATATACCCAAGCACCAGCAACCAATATATTCAGTATTAGCCAATGTTGTTAGGATCAGACCGGTAACTGAACCAGTGAGGGCACCAGTTTGGTTGGACCGACTAAACCGGACTGGTTCACTAGTCAGACCAGTCCAAGAAATTAAACAATTAATAAAACTAGTAAAATAAGAAAATTTGGGGAAAAGTAGAGAAAATTATAGAAAATAGGTAAATTACTAATAACAAGGAAAAGTTCAATTAGCAATAACTCAAATTTGTAAAGAGAATATAAAACAAAAAGCTCATAATATAATATTATAAACACCCATCATGAACCACAATCATAAGTAGGGAGAAAATAAGTACACCACCATTATTCAAAAAAAAAAATGAAAAACAGAAAATTCAAAAAAAAAAAATTTATTCTGTTTTTTATTTTTCTTTTCATTTCTTTTTCTAAATTTTCTGTTTTTCTTTTTTCTCAAACCGAAATCAAATAAACAAAATAAAATAAAATAAAACATACACAAGACATATTTCTTTATTTTCTTTTTTGGAATCTTTGGTTTATTTGTTGTTTTAATGGCTCTTACAAAATAGCCCTTGCGAGTTTTGGATTCACCTTTTAGGGTTTTTTATAATTTTTAGTTCTAAAGTCCCATACAAATTTTAAATATTAAAATTGTATATGTAAGAAAAAACCCCAAAAATATTAGCTTTTTCATTTTTTTATATTTTTGGGTAATATTTTGAGGAACTCTTACAAATTGTAAAAGCCCTTCAAACAACCTAAAATTGCAACTAAAAATAAAAAATAGCTCCAAAATTATAAAACCCTAATTTTTAATTTCATAAAATCAAAAAGGCAATATATATTTTCATTTATTTTTCTATTTTCTAATTTCTAAATAAAATAGTAAATAATAGAATAAATAAAAAATAACATGGAGTTGAAACTGGCCAGAATATCACTGGAATTTGGCTGGAAATCTCATTGGTTTCTGGCTTTGTTGAGCAGACGTGAGAGAGAGAGGGAGAGAGAGAGAGTATTGAATAAACCTCTTTCTCTCTTTCATCTCTCTTTAATTGTTTTTTACTTTTTTTCCTTTTGACCCTTCTCTATATCTAATAAGACCAAAGGCCCCCTCTGAAGCCCTTTTTTCCCGTATGAAAAGGTAAAAGAAGGGAGCAGAAAAAGACATTTTCTGCCCCCACATTTGGACCGGCCGGTTCACATCTGAACCGGTGGATTGGCCATTTCATCGGTTCAATCCCAGTTCGAAGCCTTCCTCGGCTTATTGTCTGGACTGGACCAGAGAAGGTATCAGTTCACTAGTTCATTGGTTGAACCGGCCGGTCCATTATGGTATTAGGCACTTCTCATTATGATAGTTCAGGGCAAAAGTTATAGCCATGAAAAGACCATCATAACTTTTTGGATATTTTACTATTAATTGAGATGATGCGATTTAGCCCATAAGGGAAGTTTAGTCATTATTTATCCATTGTAACATTTTACATATATTTTCTATATGGGCACAATCATAAATCTGATATAAATATACTCATAGGAATGTTAATGATTTCCAACTTGTCCATAAGAGATATTTTTCCTTTTTAAGAATCAGTATATTGGTGTCTATAGTACATGTTAGTAAAGGTCCAGACACATGATGCTTGAAGGCATTTTCTGCTTGATTTTTCAACAGAACTAGTCTTTGAAGTTTCTGCCAATGCCCAACACCATCAGGATTTTCATTTGCACTCATTCAAAACCGATGAAGCATTCTGGCATTAATTAGGGAACCAACTATTGGCAACAGGGCAAGGCATCTCAAAGTCAATTAATTAGGGAACCAACTATTGGCAACAGGGCAAGGCATCTAAAAGTCAATGGCAGAATAATTCGAGAAATCCAGAGAACCATTCTCAGCAACCCTCAATTGAGGCGAAAGCATAGCATATGATCCATAGAGATTATCCCAAATAGCAAAGGCCAGTATACTGTTCAGGTAGAAATAATATTGCCCAAACTGGTCACCGAAGTAAAGCAACATAAGGCATTATGGGGGGAAAAACAGCTCTTGCTTCTGTATTTGAAAAAGCACAAATGCATATGGCAATATGAATGAAAACTACATGGATTTACAAAATTTAAATCTGCATATATTATTAAAGAACCTGAATATCCGTAATGAATAAAAAGAATATGGTTAAACCACATGACTAGACAAAATTAAAATCTGCATATAATATTATAGAGCCTTCAATCTGACTGTCATGAATACAAAAGATTACTCCCAGGTATGCTAAAGCACTAATTGCATGTCATCCTAGAAAACGCTCGCTTACTAAAATTCTTCAGATTATTTACAATAAATAAAAAATGAAAAATAATGTTATGGACCTGACATTTCCAAATCTGCTAGCAGGACACTACTCAAATACATTTTAAGAAAAAAATTTCATAAAGGAAAAATATCATTTGTGCAAAGAAGGCATCTGTCCTTCAATCACAAAGCAAGCTGAAAAAAGATATCAGGATGAAAGAAAAATAAAGTCCAGAACACCTGATCTCGAAGTTGGTCAAGTAACGTGGCTCCAATCAAACCCGGTCCAATTATGCCTACAGCTAGAGTAGTTTTTGAGAGATAGAATCGTGAATGTACAGCCTTTAAAGCCCTAATGCAATCTTCTCGTTTCAACACCACAGTAATGTTGTATTCAGAACAACCTTGAGCAATAGCCCTCACATTTATGTTAGCCTGAAATTATAACCAAAAAAATGGAAGGAAAGATCATAATAACTGTAAGAAGAAAAAAAATAACAGAAAGGAGGTCTAGTAATAAATGGCAACCAAAAGGGATATTCATCTAGTGGTCAATGCATTGATGGAATTTTAAAAGTGTCACTGCAACTAAGGACATTTTTATGGATGAAACATAATATGCTAATACACGTAAATCTCAATGTAAGAGACTCTACTTGAAATCTAATCTCCACTTAAATACAAATTTAAAGAAACTAAATTATTCGCTCATGAGAAAATACCTTAGCCAGAGCATTGAAAAGGGTAGCACTGACACCAGGAGTACTAGCCATCTTCTGTCCAACTGCTGCCAAAATGCTACAATTTGGAATAACTTGGACCTGAAAAAGCCAAGCTATATTAACATTGCGTATCAATGACAACGGGTATCAGAATGTAGCAGAAGGTATCACCATATTGTTTGGAAACATAATATATCCAATTGCATTGCACAATAAATAAAGCAATTCCACTTTTCACACAATGGTAGCTACTTCAGGCATGACGAAGAAATACCCATCCCAAGACGGATGTCTTTACAAAACAAACTTCAGAAGAACTACAAAAAATGATCTTCCGAAGAAGTATCATGATTAAAGAAGAACAGCTACCATTCATACCATTTTCAATGGCATTTCACAATATTATATAGAAACCCATACAATGTAACCCGCAAACTGTGAGACAAGATAGAGAGGAAGAAGAGGACAAATGCAGGTTTAATACAACAGGGGAAAATACATGACACATATTGTTAACAGAAGATCAATCATTGAGAAAATTGAAAAGGAGCTTGGATGCTCCAACTAATGCAAGCCTTTCAAATCGAGTATAGAACAAACATGATCAACTAGATCAATCTCAACTTGATCATTTTGTCAGAATAAACCAAACACGAGTATTGTTCATTCAGAACTAAGAACCTGGAAATGCTAGAAAATTTTTATCTTTCGAGGGAAAGAACCTGAGAAAGACGCCCAGCCTCTAAAGCTTGATGAAATCTAGATTGTAAAGCCTCTGCAACTGCATTCACTTCCTTCTCAGGAACAGCAAAGCAAATAGAATGCTCACTACTAGCCTGCATTTGAACAATTAAATCAGTACAAGGATGAATCTTGAATTGAGAATAGAGCATATACACAAGGTTTACATACCTGCGATATCATAATAACATTTGCTCCCACATCTTTCACAGCACTAAATATTGCACTTGCTGTACCTGGAACACCAGCCATCCCAGTTCTACAAACAAAAAAGTCACACAAATCAAAGGAACCCTCAGGTCAAATGCAGCAGGAAAGAATTTGTACAGTCAAATGAATTACAGGAAAGCCATAGTCCATAGGATCATAACCCTCCCAGAAAGTGATGGGTGATGATAACGAAAGTGGGACCCACCACAGAGGACACGTGATGTTGGGTGGCACTCTCTCTCCTTCTCCATCCATTCATCAGTGGATGGTGAAGACACAATAAACTATGAATTTCTTGTAGTCCATAGTATTATAGTATATATGAAGGCTTAAGCTTTGTGGTGGACATCAAGAAAGAAGCATCTCAGGCAACCAAAAGGGAGATATTCTAAATTAAACTCACCCCTCAACATTCACCAGGGCTAAATTATCTATTGTAGCGAATCCCTTCACTAGAGAATCCATCCTCTGAGACTCTCCAAATTCATTTGCAGGAATACGACAAATCTTTGTTCCGGGAGATGAAATGTTGAAAACATTCCTTATTATGATGGGAATGTCATAACTCATCACCGGAATTATGGTGCGTGGGTGCAAGACATTTGCACCAAAATATGACTGCATAAACCAGAGCCCAGTAAGTCGGTATCCAGAAAGCCAAAAGAGAGAGATAGAGAGAGATAACAAACTTCATCTTGGGTAAATTAGATATCATACCCACCATTTCCCATGCCTCTTGATAAGATAGAGTCTTCAAAATAACCGCCTCACTAACTGCAGAGGAAAGAATGAGTTAACAAATATAGATGTATTCCACTAAATCTATGGACCAAAAAAGATCTTATGCCTCCTAGCAATATAATATACATGTGGGAGTGCATGTGGAGAGAGAGGTGGGGGGGCGGGGGGGAGAGAGAGAGAGAGAGAGATTTATTAACGCAATTTGATAAGCTATAGCAAAGTGAAAGTAGTGATTCACTGAAGACAAGACGCTAACATAATGTGATGTGATACTCTAATTTAAAGCAGCAATCACATTTAATCTAAAAATTGCAATTGCAAAGGCTAAGATAAAATGCCTTGCTGACCTTTACGAGGGTCTGCACTATACACGCCATCCACATCAGTCCATATGGTAACTTGTCGAGCTCTGAATAGAGCACCCATTATAGCTGCAGAAAAGTCACTGCCATCCCTTTTCAAAGTGGTTGGGATATTTTTCGAAGTGGAAGCAATGAAACCAGTGGCAACAATTGTTTCAGATGGATACTTGGAGAACCATTTCTCAAGTCTCTTGTTTGATTCTACAAAATCAGGATCCACTTGGTTGGAACTTGTGGGGTTAACAACAAGGACGTCCCTTGTATCCATCCATTTGCAAGGTACTCCATACTACATACCAAGGGAATAAATTAGATTTTAGCATCTTAGAAGTCAAATTACAATACCCACATGAAGTAATATTATAGAAAGAGACTACCTTATTAATGACAGCTGATAGCATCTGAGCAGACCACAACTCTCCATATCCTGCAACAAAGTCTGAAAAGGACTCTGTAGCATGGCCAGCTGTAAATATGTGAAGCATATTAGTCAAGAAGAGAGACAATAAAGCATTTAAATATGCCAACGCTAGAATAACAAAAGAGTTGAGCCACAATTTGACCTTTCAAGCATTGAAACAACAAAAGTGAACAAAGCGTTAGTAAAATTACACACCATACAAGTAATAGAAATCAATGATTACAATTGAGAAGAAGGCAGGTTAACCTCTAAACTTTCGCAATACCTTTTCATCGTTGAGAGCTAAAACCAATGAAAAGGAAAATGCAGTTAAACTAACAGTGAGCTTCACTAACCTATGTAAATGGCACGAAGCATTGCTTTGAGGTTATTAATGTCATGTTGCAAACGTTCTAAGAAACTTTCAAGAATTTCCCCATCGATGAGCTCAGTTGCAGTTGACTTGTGCTGCTCGTAAACATCATCCAACACAGTCAAATAGGAATCATCCCTCGATTGTGCCTTGTGAATAAGGTCATACATCATATCTGTAACCTTTGACATAGCAGAAACAACTACAACTTTCCTCTCAGATGAATCATTCACAACTATTTGAGCAACATTTTGGATTCTTTTTGGTGTGCCAACGCATGTTCCCCCAAATTTGTGAACTGCCCACATGTCCCCCTTCGAAAGTCTACTTTCCTCAGTGGACATATCCATAACAAGATCTGCAGATGAACAATAAAACCATGATTCACGAAAAGATCTCTCGTTCCAGAAATCGAATGAGACCGACAAAATTTAACCACATGAATTATATTAATTGGAAGTTATATTTATGATAGAGGAAAGGTAAGAGAAAGTACCAGTAACAGAGTTGACGATGTGGTTGATAAAAACATCCTTTCTTCCACTCTTGGAAAAACAATCCATTCTGTAAAAGCAACATAATCAGCATACATGGTCCAAATACATAGGAAAATCAACATTCTAGAGAGATTTGTCCTTTAAAAAAAAAAAAAAAATGAATAAGCAAAAGCTCCCACGGAGATTGGCAACATGAGAATAAACTAGAAGTCCCTTCCTGTTTAAGGCCATAGAGAATGTAAAGTCGGTGACATCTACAAGCAATGTCCTTAAGGTGTTAATGCTACTCATGGCAGAATGTACATAAACAAATGATCACAGAACAATTAATGACAAAACAAAAGGCTCTACCAGAAAGGCAACTGAATTAATTGGCAAGAGCATTTCTGAGAGTATTAATTGGCAAGAGCATTTCAGCGAGTAGACACCGTAAAATACAGAGTTTCTTCTCATAAAACATATAAAAGACACACTCGCTTAACTACAACAATTGCCAAGATCTGAAATGCAACAAGCTCACAATCCCAACTAAACCCATCATTCCATCTAAACAATATGCTTAAAATCCATAATTTTCAACAGTTGTGGAAAGAGAGAAGGCGACAAACTGAATACAATCATAGAAATAGAAGACACAGTAAATCCACAATCCCAACTAAACCCACACTTCCATATATCAGTATCATGTCGCATGTCATGAAATAAAATAAAAACACACACACACAGAGCACTCAATCGAATATTACACAAAACACCAAAGGGGGAACCACAGCAAAACCAACAGTCACTACCAAGCTTACTAAGCCATATCAAAAACATCTTTGCGAAAGAGAAAGCGTAAATTTAGAGCGAGAGAAAAACGTATCAAGCACCGAAGGCATCAGTGACCAAGAATGAATACACATTTCCCCAAAACACAGAGTCCATGAAAAGTAAAACAGATGAGAGAGAAAGAGAGAAACCTGGAAGGTGGGCAGACATGGTGGTTTAGAGAGAGGTCCTTCCCAAAGAAGATTCGGCTCAGAGGAGCAGGGTTTCTTCCCTGCTTCATGCTGGCGGCGCCGCAAGAGAAGACCGTGAGAGAGGAAGAAGCCATGCTCCCCTCGATGAGAGAGAAAGAAAGTAGAGAGAGAAAGACAACCTTGGAATTGAAAGAGCGGGAGCGAGAGTGACACAGTGACAGTGCCCCTCATAATGCAGGGCAGGCATTCGCACGTGCCGCATGACATCACTACCAAATCCGCGCACGTGTAAAAAAATCCATTGAATCCTGGGACCCGCTGGTCTCCAGCTCCAAGATTTTGAGTCCGATGGACAGCTCAGATCGATCTGAGACGTGACGAAGGGTAAAGGAGAGCCGTACATCCAGCACCATGTCGGCGAATAACAACAAAAAGTGGTATTATTTTATTGAGTGGTAGCATGGAGTACGAAAAAAAAACTATACCAAATGAGATCCACTTAGACGCCTTCAAATAAATAAATAATGAGAAATCATGAATGAGTTGCGGAGGCCAAAATAAAGGCACCAAAATATCTAGCACAAGGAGTATCTGCGATAAATTAAATGGTACCAAAGTTAGAGAAAGTGGCACTAAAATATAGCAATGGGGACTGTAAATGATAAATCACGTGGTACCCAATAGAGAGAAAGGGGGCATTGTGTTAAATGTATAGGGAATTCTAATTTCTAGATCCTCTTAAAGATTACCCACAAGTTCTTTTACAATAATGTCGCTTACTTTTACATTCTCATCGGAGTGGATGTTATGATTCCCAGCATTATGTAAAATTCATGTAAACTGAATAATCCCCCTCTCTCTTTATGCAAAACTAGCTTTACTGGAAATAGGAATCTCTCTCTCTCTCTCTCTCTCTCAATCTCTGGACACACGCACATGCACACCACTTCTTCTCTATGGGTGTGGTTTGTATAAAGTCGAGGCCCTAAACCATAAAGGTAAGGTGAGCTTTCAAATGTTGTCGAAGGATGCCGATACAACATTGAAAATCTTTATAATAGCTCAAAAAATTATTGTTATATCTAATTATAAAATTTAAATCTTTAAAAATAATGTAGATCGAGCAGATCTATAAACACTTGAAAATATTGACAATTAACTGTCTAAAAATGTATTACAAGATGCACTATTTCAGATACTTGAAATCCATTTTTTTCCATGTCGGTTCATCTTTAGGTTAAGATGATCAATTTAAGAAACTTTTAGCATTAAACGACCCCTTCTAGTGAATTTTTTAGGTGCACTTTTATTTAATTGTTTAGGGCCTCGCCTTTATATATGTTAATAAGGATGCCTTTACATATGTTAGTAATGATTATCAACATGAAATTTTAAACTCAAAATAAATCTCAAAGATAGATTTTAGGAAAGAGAAGCTTTTGAATTCTAAGTCGAGTGACGCACCAAATCCCATCAATTAGTTTCTTTCCAAATATCATTGGTACAAAAGCTTCTTTGCATTTCCACTAAAGGCAACTATTTATTAATTGAAAGGTGTCAATCTTAAATAATCGAAGTAGGTCATACCTCAAAATGTGTCGAAAGATGTAGTTTTGTTGTCGAAAAGCCCTGCAATGATCTAAAAATCTATTTTTAGGTCATTTTATGAAATTTAAAGTTTGAAAAATGGTGTAGATCGAACAAAATTACCAACACTTTAAAATCTTGAAAATAAAGAGTCCAGATAATACCTTACAAGATGTACTTTTTTTACACTTAGAAGCACTTTTTTTACTTTCATATCCATTTATCTCGAAGTCAAGATAATCAATTAGAAAGTCCTTTGATGCCGAAATGACCTTTTCTTATGGTTTTGAGGTGTGCTTTTTACTTTTATCTTACAAAGTTGACACCGTGTATAAACTGCTTTTAAAATTTAATACTGAAGCTTACCAAGAAAAAAGCCTCTTGCTTTCCTTTTAACATAAACACTAATTTGTTGGATAAGTTTATATAATGTAGCAACCTTATATTATAAAATTAAGATACACCTTAAAAGTCCGGTAGAACATAATGTCCCAAAGTTAAAAAGCCTTCCAATTGATCAACCGTGAGAAGTATGTACATTGAAAAAAATAAAAAGAACTTCAAGTACTAAAAATAGTATATCTTATAACAAGTTATCTATAGACCATTTGTTTTCAAGATTTTCAAGTTCTATAGATCTACTTAATTTGCACCATTTTTAGAATTTTTTTAAATTTTCATTATTGGGTTTGGATACTGATTTTTCAAGCTATGAAAATATTTTCGACATCAAAACTACATTTTTTGACAAAATTTAAAGGTGCGCCCTTCCTTATGGGCACCTTAAACAAACCTCAGCCTGATTTGTTTAACAATAAAAGTTGCCTCCATATGGTGAGAGTTACTTATGTGAGATTGCCATTTCAATATGCTCTCTATTGGTGAGAAAAGTGCAGTTTGATGGATTCATCAGGACTCCATTAGGAGTTTCGTTCAACAAGAAAGCGATCATTAATTTCAACTCTGGGTCTAAAACCATAGATGGAAATTTCTTCTTCTTCTTTTTTTTTTGATAAATTAAAAAACCTCATGTAAGAGTAGAAGATATAATACACATGTAAATATCTATCACCCTTTTTACAATAAATCCTTGAAATTTTCCATAGGATTGCCCATAGGTTGGGCCTGGGCGGGGCAGGACCCTAGCTGGCCCAGCTGACCAAGCCGTGCCAGCCCACCCAGCCCATTGCCCCCTTATTTAACATTTTCCTAAGTGTTAGGGCTAGCAGCTAGCCACGTGGGCTGACCTGGCCCAGTCCAATCAGGACATGGGACCTTATATCCGACCCATGGCTGGATCTGTGCCTATACTTTGAGGCCTTTAAATCTTTTCCAACCCAGAAGTTCATGTTCTGGCTCGGCCCATAGCGTATAATAGAAAAGCCCAGACAAGCAGCAACTAGACAACGGGGCCAGGCCCCAGTCCAGGCCAAGGCTGTTGGCACAAAAACTGACCAAGCTCAAGCTCAAGCTCAAGCCCGACCCCCATTGAAAGCCGTGTCCATTAAAACGACAACATAAATAATGTGGTAGGCCCGCGGTCCCCGTCATGATCACTAAATTATTGGATTGACAATGAAACAAACAACAATCCACTTGGAAAGTATATTATCGTAGCAGTTGGGTTTCAAACACTTTTTTAGCAATTCCCAAGTCATCTAATGTCGACAAGAGATTGGTTAAAGTTTGTCGTTTCTCATCCAGCAGGCTTTGAGCCAAGGCACAGCACATCTCAGCCATCCATTAATGACATCAGACGACTAAGGAACTGCAAGCAAGCCGTTTATCCTTGTATACATTCCATAAATTTCCTAACCATGTGATCCACAGTTTGCAGCTCCAAAATTGGCAGTTAGCTTCAGAAATTGCAACCCAACGTTGTGGTTGGAGTGCGTTGCATCTAAAAGGTAGACAGGTCCCACATTCAAAAGAACAATTGTTTCATACAGGCTGAACCGCGACTACAATATGTGATACCTAAGGTATAAATGTTTTTTTAATATAATTATTATTTTTTATTCATGATCTCCAAAGATTATAAAATTTCCAAAAATCAGAATCAAATTATATTTAAAAAATATATTTATTGCCAAGCCCTCATTTCTACAATATACAGGCTGGCCGCAGGCTAACTGCGTCTTATTCAAAAACTGAATTAATCAATTCCACCAAAACGCAAACGTCATAATCCAACCTTCAAATGGACCCAAAAAAACCTTGTCGAAAAAGCCATACACAACGCTCTCCTGATTTTTATCTTCTCCCGCTATAAAATACAAACCAAAAATAATCCTTGAGATCTTCAAAGCACATGCACATGGCCTATTCTTGGAGCATAAAGGGTTAAACAGGCAACATCCAAATCCTGCCTGCCCAACAAAATTAAACATTCCATGGGTTCAAATCCTGCGTGCCCAACAAAATAAATGCATTCGATAGCTACTTGCTCCAGAAACGTGTAAAAAAACCTGAACATCTCAAGCCACATTAGAATTCCAATAGAACAGGCATAAGCAAACAAAATAAATGCATTCGATAACTACTTGCTCCAGATACATGTAAAAAAACCTGAACATCTCAAGCCACATTAGAATTCCTATAGAACAGGCATAAGCAAAGTTCAGACATCCTACAAAAAAAGACCAACAAAGCAATGATTATGATACAATGTAACATGGTATATAACTTACATCAACCAATCCAATCTTTGAACGCAAATACTTCTGTTTACACAAAATCTGAATCCCGCTCACTCATCTGACTTCAAAAAAGAAACAAGGAAAACATAAAAAAACGGAATACAGGAAGAAAATTTGAAACAAAATAATTTAAAACCCCCAACCAAATTGCCAATACCTTAAGGCCATGGCCCCTACTGAGCCTTGGGCTTGTTAATCTTCACATAAGGGAGTAGGCCCAAGAAATACTTGACCTGTGGGCCCCACCCCAATTGCTGGGCCCGACAAAACATTAAGAACGTGTTCGCAAAGTAAGAGTTGAATCCCATGAGTACATGCCAAAGAGCATGCCCCTGGGGATTCACGCTCCACTTTGATATCTTCTCGCAAAAACTACGGTCCAGGAGCCAACACATGCTTGCAAGGAGTATCGTGGCGACAAAGAGATGAGCCAGCCTCTTCGCCGAGGCCTCCCTGGTGTATATATAGTACTTGTACATCCTTGGAACACACAAGAGGCAAAGGAGAGCATAATGGACCTTGAATCCCATGCGAAATCGAACCTGAGAATGAAGTATAGCAAATGCTGCTCCATAAAGGAAGAGGAAGGTGGGCATGGTACTGCGATAGTGCCAGTCTGGGGAATATAAAACATACATGTAGAGAAGGACTTCCCATACCATGGGTGTCTCATCGCTTTGCTGTTGCCTGAAAAGAGAAAACAGGGTACACAACAATTACACTATTTCATCATGGCTTGTTTTTAGGTAAAAAATAGCTCCTTTTTTCCTAGGCTTTGTACAACGCATCAACCTTAAAACAATCAAAATAAGGTACACATCAAACTATGCCAAAAGAGATGTCACTTGTGGTGCCCGAAAGACTTGAGATGGCATGAAAATCTACTATCACCCCTAATTATGAAATTTAAAACTCCAAAAATGGTGCAAATCAAACGGATCGCTAAACAACTAAAAATTTTGAAAATAGATGGTCCATATAATGTGTTACAAGATGCAGCATCGGAACAACCATATCCATACACACAAAAAAGTAAACACATATCCTTACATCTCGTAGTCAAAATGATTAATTTGAGCGTTTTCCAGCATTAGAACAACCATTTCCGATGGGTTTTTTCGGTGAGCCTTACTTCAATAGTATAAGGTATTAAGGTTGACACCTACTACAAACATTTTCTTGGTTATTAGACCATAGTTCCTTCATAGCGATAGAGACAATAAGACTAACCATTACGTCTAAAGAGGACAGCCCAAGTAGATTGAAGAACACATAATCAAACTATGGAGGATACAACTATATTCTAAACTTGAGACTTATCTGCATGTGAAGGATTCGTGAACATCATCAGCATCATCACCATCACCATCATCGTCAAAGCTCCCAACTAATTGGGGCCGGCTACACGAATCCTAGTCCGTCATTCTACTCTTTTGAGGGCCATACCCTTAGCGAGGCCATAAGTCCCCATATCTTTTCTCACTACTTCCTGAAGGATTCATGAACAAAGAGCATGTTAAGACCGATCTCCACCATCCATCAACATTGACCAAAGCTTAACCAAGTTGAGACAACCAAGTTGATAGATAGTGAAGTTTAGTCTTCAAATGCAATTTGTATGTGAAGCCTTCACATGCAATATGGTTGTTTTCATAAAATACATTCTACACATTATTTAAGGTTATCTGGTATTTGGATAGTTCTCAATATTAATATTGTGTCATTAACTAACAAATTCCTTTTTTGGAAGTTAATAACATTATATATTGGGTGTGATTTGTATAAAACCGAGGCTCTAAACAATCAAATTAGAGCCCATCTTCAAATAGTGTCGAGAAATATGGTTTCAATACTGAAAAGCTTTGTGATAGCCTTATATTATATTTTCATCTTTAGTTATAAAATTTAAAGCTTCAAAAATAGTGTAGATCGAGCAGATTTATGAAAACTTAAAAATCTTGAAAATTGACTGTCCAAAAATGTGTTACAAGATGCACTATTTCCAAAACTTGAAATCCATTTTTTCTTATGTCCATGGATCTTGATGTCGAGATGATCAATTTTATGATATTTGCGCATCAAAACAACCTCTTCTAGTGAAATTTTTTACGTAGGCTCTAATTTGATTGTTTAGAGCCTAGGTCCTATATAAACTTTTCCCTTATTTTAATTGGACAATTAATTAATACTACACCAGGTCATTCGTATATTGATCCACCACACAGGACAATTCTAATATAGCAACTGATTAGAAAAAATTAACAAGAGAAACAAGAGATTCATAACATAACAGTTTGTAAACTAATTCATTCAAATGGTACCCCTGGGAGGGAGGCGAGAAAGTGTGTGAATTTAGAACTGGTCTTGGAAGAAAATAAATATTGAGAGTTTATAAAGTCTCAAATAGCATATTGCAGAGATATAGGACAGGTTTACTAGAATTTGCATTTGTCAGATGCTGCTGGATGAGAACAGTGGTGGGCTCTAATTAAGATAAAACTTGCATGCATTTCTCAGAAAGTATGGTTAGTACAGGGTGAATAGCCATGCTGACAACTAGAGATACCAAAATAAATGAGGCTTATACACTTTCTATCAGTTGACTTAATTAGTTCAAATTCACAATAATTAAGGGCCCATTTGATAGCACCCTAATATCCTGATATTTTGTGATATTATAAAGATCTAATGTAATTTTAATCAGAAGTTCAAGAACCCTATTGGAGGATAGGGCCAAATCATATCTTTTAACATTCAAATAAGAGCCTAATACTCGAATCTCCAAAAATTCAACAATGACTTAATTTTTGAGGATACTGCAAATTGTATCATGCACCATTATGTTTCTCTGCCATAATATTTGAAGGGAAACTTTATATACATAAATATATATATATATATAATTTTATTTTTATTTTTTTTCTTTTTGTGTGTGTGTGTATCCTTTCCTCCCCTCTCTACTCTCATAACTCCCAAGCCCTGAACAATCTGTCTCTCTCCTGCCATTCCCTTTCTCATCTCCATGCCATTAGCGTTTCCTTAACCTCTCTTCATTCTCTTAATCAGGACACCATCATCATCGCCCCTTTGCTTCAAAGCCCAAGAGTCTTTTTAGAGCTTCCAAATCTCTGCAAAACCCTAGAAACCACATTGCTCTTTTTCATTGGAGTCATTTCTTAAAAGTCAACGAAGAGGTCTTTCAGTATCTGCAACCCCCACAATGCCATAGAAATGACTCCGGGCATTAAGGATCCCGTTTTCAAGGCCAGATCTTTTATTTTTTGTTTTTTCAAGTTTTTACAGGCAGTCTTTGGGGGATAGGCGATCATGGCTTCTCAGTTTCTGAAGAATCAGTCATATAGCTTGATCATGGCCATGGCTTATACAAAAACTATCATTGTTGGATTACAGCTCTTCGCTTACACTTTACGCACACAGAAAGACCGCTTTCTATAGGCTCAATTCAACACAGGATAAATCGTGGGTAAATAACAGAAGAATTCCTCTCACTTTTACTGATTGGTAAGTAGTGTATAGGGGCTTTTTCTTCTCAAGTCCACAAAAGAAGCCAATATAAATCCATATGGAGATAGAGGAGAAAGAGTCCTAGAAGATCCAAGCTTCCATTCATCAATTTGAGGCTAAAGGTTTACACGGTTTTACAAGCATGAAAAATAGCCATTATCTATCTCACATGCAACTAAGTTGGCCTTAATGTTTGCAGCGACAGTAAGTCATAATGAACTTCAATGTAGTGGCTGGAATCAGACTAAACTATAGGGACACTGCTAGCTATTTACCAGAAAGATGGAAAAAACGGTAAGCTAACTCAATTGGTGATACTTGATGGGTGACATTTATTGACCAAACGAGGATGATCCCAAGGGACACACTGCTAGTTATTTACCAGAAAGATGGAAAAATGGTAAGCTAACTCAATTGGTGATACTTGATTGGTGACATTTACTCACCAAACGAGGATGATCCCATATCTCTCCTTAAATTTAAACTTTTCATGTAAAGTAATTAAAAAAATGGCCATGGAAAACCAGGTCTTAAAATCTAATCTCTCTCTAAATTACAATCTGCCCGTAAAGTGTTTAATAACAGGCCTATGGAAAACAGGTTTCTTAATTTATTGTACCGCGACGTTTGTTGTCTACTCATGCTCAGCGACATGGTAATGGCTCAAAATTTGTTCAAAAAATGCCTTGTAGAAATTTACATTCATATAAATTCAATTTTGACGACCAAATAGCCAAAATGTAAAATCTGTAAAAATACTGAAATACAGAGCGATGGTCAAACAGGCGCAAGAAAACACACTAGGATAATAAGTAATCCAAAATTTGAAAGCTAGTGCCTTTATTCATATTTTCAAAAATCCAAATATCAAATCTTTGCTTTGTCAAACATAGCCTAAATCTCCAATTTTTTTTTTTTTGGAAAACCAAATTTCAATCAAACAATACAAAATATAATATTTATTATTCATATTTTATGAATTAACAATCATTAGCAGCCAATAGGTAGGATGCACACAGATATAGGAGCTGGAGGGAATTATCATTCAGGTTCTCGGGATCACATGCCGTTCCAACTTAAGTTCGAATCTATTAGGTTTCTCAAAAATTTAACCAACAAATCAAAACCAGTTATGTGTTACTGATGCTTTACTCTTCTGTTGATTCAACACAAAGGAAAGAAAGAAAAAGAAACACCTTTGTTACAAGGAATGAATGAGAGCTAGAGAGACAATGGCAAACCACATAAATGGTCAATATAGCTAAAAAGATGGATAATAACAGCAATTGATGAGTAGAAACTATCATATAAAATCTTCCTGGAGTTTTCCATGCCATTTACATCATTGTCTAGTCATCATCATCCACAACATCATCATCATCATCATCATCATAGCCTTTTCTCAACTATTTGGGGTCTATAATACAAATCCTGGTCCGTCATTCTGCTCTATCAACAACCATACCCTCCAACCATTAACCCCAATATCTTTATCACTAGTTCCAACCATATCCTTATGGGCCTACACCCTGTCTTTTTTAAGCCTTCCACTTGAACCAAATCGCACCTCCTAACAGGTGTTGTACTGGATATGCGTTGCACATGGCCAACCCACCTCAGTCTACTTTCTCTCATCTTATTGCCCATTGGAGCCACACCTAAGTTCTTCCCAATGTACTCATTGCGAATTCTATCCCTTCTTGTCTAGAATGAAGCAAAAAATCTAAACTCCAAGTTGAAGTTCCAATATTTTTGAGGCATTGTAGGAAGCTTTAAATCTTGTATTAATTACCATACCACCATCCTTTTTAATTGTTGTCGAATAGCATATGATTGTAATGATTTCATAGGTGGATAATTTATGTTCATAGTAGTAGAGTAAGGGCCGTCACTTGGTGTGACGGTAAAAGGCTCGGGTAGCCAGCGCAGGTTAGAGTTCTGAGAGCGGCCACTTTGTGCATAAGCCAAAGGTTAGAACCGTTTCCAGCCCACCCCTCCCAGGACCAGCACTGAGTTACGGCCCTTTTAGTAGTGGAGTAAGGTTGACCTTCTGATGATCTAGTATATCCAAGTTTAGACTTTTGAATCTGGTTGTTATCTTCTACAAATTATTACCCAACACAGGCACATAAAAAAGTAGAGTAACAAAAGTTACAACACCA